GTCCTGCCGCGCGGACCCGGCACGCGGGCTGGCCGGTGGCCCTGGCTCTTCGGCACCCCCGGCCCCAAACCCCGCGCCCTCCGTGGGGCACTTGCTCCTCAAACCTCCCCCCGGGCCGCCTGAGGCACCCCCCCCTTTTTGGGGAGGCCTTCAGGTAATTTTTGCACCGGCGGCCTGTTCAGTGGGGTCGGGGGGAATCCCGAGAAGGGTCGCGGGGTGGGGGTGGTCCTCCCGGGGAGGGGGTTGCACTGGAGGCGACCGAAAAGCGAGCGCGGTGCCGGGGCGGGCTCCGTGCTCAGCTCAGCCGCCCTGAGAGGACCGGCTGACGGAGTTGCAAACTTTTCCCCCACGTGGTCCCACACGCGTGGCCGAGTGACCTCGCGCCCGAGTCACCCCGGGCCTCCCTGCCACCGAGTCCCCAGGGCACTAAGCGGGCGGCCCGAGCGCGGCCGCGCGGCCGGAGCTGAACTTGAACCTCCTGCAGCCGCCCGGGGGGCGAGGGGCGGGGCTGCCTGGCTGGTGCACCGCGGGGACTCGGGAACCGCAGGCCCCGACTCTGTCTGCTCCCTTCATTTGGGGGGAGGGGGCTCCCCGGTTTCCCCATCGCTGCCCCAGCTTCCGCTGCAGTGTGGCTGATGCTTACGAAAAGTTGTATTGAAGTGCTGAGTGCAGCCAAAAATCGATCAACAAAAGCAACCAGAGTCTGGGTCAAACAGCAGTGCGTTTTGGGGTGGACACAGAAATTCATCTATAAAGGATTAGAAAGACACCGAGTGCGCCCTGTTACTAGCTTCTTAAGATTTCTTCTTCAATTCCCATAGAGTACAGAAACAAAAACACTTTCACAAATCACACGCACACACACATAAAATAGGTATAGGCACACACACATTCCGTACTGTGGGCCAGGCATGGGTCTGGACGCTTGTTTGTGATTTCTTCTCTTTCAAAACCAGACCTGCACGTTTTGATAGTGTCAGGGAAAATAGAATTAGTTTTACCATCTTCTATACCAAAGATTCATTATCTCATCCATTTCTTCACTCAGGTGACTCCCTGCGTTGAGCAGTAGACAGTTCCAGTACAGTCTGCTCAGAAAGAGAAAGACGGACAGGGCCTTCCTATAAAAATTGACAGCTTCGGAAACCCGTAGAAGGTCACGGTGTGTCAGATGGACTTAATGACAAGTGAGTTTTGTTTTCCATGCCCTGGTGGAAATCTTGAGCCATTCAACTCCAGCTTATATAGGGTTGCTGTAGTGGGTTAAGTGTTCAGCTACAAACCTAAATAAAGGTCAGAAATTGAAATCCACCAGCTCTTTTAGGAAAAAAATTAGAAGTCTGCTCGCATAAAGATTACAGCTTCCGAAACCCTAAGAGGCAGTTCTCTGTTCTACAAAGTTGCTTATGGGTTGTTGCATTGTCTGAATGGCAAAAGGTATGTATGTGCCAAGGTCAGTTCTCAATGTGGAGGACCCAGTGATGGCCAAAAGGGAGAAGGTTCTCCTTCTTAACTCTTAAATTCTAACTGGCATGCTTCTTTCAGCTTGCACTTTCCAGTAATAATTTATCCATGTGTCATTCACTTGTTTTGAGCCCCACTGCTCCAGTCCTCATTCCTACAATACCTCTCATTTCTGGAAGCTAGGGCAAGATCTCCATGAAAAACCCTGAGGAGGAGGAGTCAAGGTGCCAGGGCACAAGGGCACGCCTCCCAGCTTGGAAAGAAGAGAGTGAGCTTTATCCTGGTCCTGGAACATTTGACCCGAGGCAACTCGTAAATGATTAATTTTCTCATCTGTAAAGCAAAGAGGTTCAAAGAGTTCCCCTTCAGGTCTGCCACCAGCCTCCTCAAAAAGATGACATCCTTTAAAGTAGATTGTGGGCTTTACTTCTTTTGCATGGTGACTGGTATAGGGGATCTGATTCAATTTCGTAGGAACACGGTTCCACCTTCCAGAATTACCTAAGATGGTTGAGCTGCTTGCTGGCCCCAGAGCAATAGCTGATACAGTACTTTAAGGGATAGACCTCAAGTCTAGGATGGTGTTCCTGTAGCTCCTTCCATCCACACTGAGATTATCAAAGCTGGCATCCACTAGAGTCAAGTTCTTTGTCATTTAAAGCAGAGAACCTAGACTCATCTGGGGGTCCTTAAAGATGTCTCAGTTACCAGTAAAATTCAAGAACTAAGACGAGTTAACAGTGCAATTACAGTTGCTTTTCAACAACTTTGGGGGTTGGGTTGAGGAAAGTGTGAAATTGGCAAATACAATAAAAGGTATTTTATTAGTGGCTTTCCAGAGTAGCCCTTGGCAGTCCTGTCTTTAAAGAGTAATGTCTGGCCTGGAAAAAAAAAAGGATGGTAATATACTGCATCTAAGAACCTTGCCTCTGGCAAGAGTAATTTGCAAATGCATTTTGGGATAATATTTAAATTTTTTTTTTCAGGGTCCAAGTGTAATGCTTGCTGGAATTGGCATTGCTTCTTGGGTCAGGATTTCAGGGTTTTCTTCGATCAGGGAATTAAAATTGTAGAGTCTATTGTCTATATTTGTAAGGCCTTTCTTCCGCCGTACTACTAGAAGAATTTGAAGCTCCAGCCTTTCACTTAAGTAGCCAAACACAATCTTTTATCTCACCCAGAGACTTTTATTTCTAGCTTTCCATCTTACCTTTCTTTTACCAGCTAATGATTAATGACTAACCATATAATAAGTTTAGCATTTACAATGCATTAAAATAATATCCCATTTAATTTTCATGTGGTTAGGATATTTACTATATGCCCATTTTATAGTTAAATAAACTGAGGCATATGAAGTTTAAGCAGGTTGTCTAAGGTTAAAAAGCTATTAAGTAGTCTGAATGACTCTAAACCTTTGCTCTTGATGGCCACTGCTAAAATGCCTTTCTCAGAATAGTTCTTCAGAAAAACAAATGCTGTGCATTTAGTACAGTCACCCTGGAAAATTGCTTAGCAAATGTAAACACCAGAAATAACCCAACCCACGTCACCTCTTCCCTGAAATAGCACTCAGGGCAACACTTCACAGTGATCACCAGACTGGAAAGAGCCCAGAAGTTCACCAACAGGGAAATGGATGACCGTTGTTACTGTTATGTGCCGTCCAGTTGACTCTGACTCAGAGCACCCCTGTGTACAATAGCTTTAAACCCTGCTCTAACCTGAGCCAATTTGATCATCTCTGACACACCTCCCCCCATTACCCGAGTCACTGAGTCAACCCATCTCATCCAGGGCCTTCCTCTCTTGTGCTGTCCCACCACCCTTCCTAGCATGACGTTGCTCTCCAAGGACTCGTCCCTCTTTGAAACATGTCCAAAGTACGCCCGACAGGACTTCAAAATCTTTGCTTCCAAGGAGCAGCCTGGTTTCATCACACAGTGAAGTACCGTACAGCATTTTAAATAAATGGTCTGTTTGAAATGCTGTAGCATTGATGTATCTCACAAACATTAGAAACACAACATGCAAGGGTATGCACTATAGTTTCCATTTGTATAAAGTACAAGAACAGGCAAACGCCTTAGTGGTGCTAGAAGTCAGATTGCTGGTTACCCTTGGAGGGTGGGTAATGACTGAGGGAACACGTAAGGCAGGCTATACTGCTTCTTGATCTGGGCATCATTACACAAGTGTATTCGGTTGGTGACAACTCATGTTGTACTGTTCTGATACACACACTTCTTGGTATGTCAATTAAAATTTTAAAATACTGTGCAGAATGTGTGAATGGTGTTTGTGTACATATTGAGTACCTATGTATACCTTTTAATGTACGAATGTTGTTATTTGCTGTCAGGGTTTTATAGTTTTCCATCTCAGAGCGACCGTATGGGACAGATAGAACTGTTCCATAGGGTTTCCAAGGCTGAAAGTATGATTTGAGTGAACATTTGCAGAGCAAATTGGTTTTCTGTTTAACAGTTCATACACATTCTGTTTCATGGCTTTGATTGCAATTCCCAGAATAGAACACCGCTCTTCCCACTTGTTCCTTGTTTCCTATTCCCATTTGTCATTTTTAGCCATTCCTGCTTTTTAAGCTTGCCTTTTATGCTTTGTTGTTGTTGCATACCATCAGAAA